CAGACAAACATTTTCACTTATTATGTTATCCTTGTCGATTTCACGCTCAAAGCTGCTGGACGGAAAAATATGTTAAATTTAACGGCAAATGACTCCAGAATTTTTTTTGTTAGCTACTGGTCAATTAAATAGTTAATCCAGTTAAGTGCACCAATAAATTGCTACTGCTTCCAGTTTTGTTATGTGCGTTTGTTTTTCTAGTGAGAAGTAGAAATGGTATAAACTAAGTGTATATGTGGTAAGTTCTGACCGCGGGGTCGGGCGGAAATGAAGATGGACTCTTTAGCTGTATCTGAGAAGTCCGGGGACGGAAGGAGAGGAGGGGGAACATAAATGGGTGTGGGGGGGGGGGGTGAAAGAGAGAGGGAAGGGCTGTGGTATAGTGAAATAAAAGCAGCTCTGTTTCACTTTCAATCAAGCTCAGTCTAATCCAATTAAGTCGAATATTGCTTCCCCTTTTTGCAAGCTGCAAGTTAAACACAGCATGCTGACCAGTCTGGACTGCTAGTTAGGGGGAAATTTAAGAGAAAACCCTAGACTTTGAAGTATTAATGGAATCCGTCCTTTTTTCATACCATTTCAGATGGATTCCGCCACGGAATACATGCGTGCAACGTTAGTTCATAGTTAAATTCAATTAGTACTAAAAGTACTCGCAGAGTTGCCTTAAATCCAAAAAAAAAATAACTTGAGAAGTATAATTTACAAAATTGGACAAGGTTAACATTGTCGAAACAACAAGAAAATTGAATATTGATTTTGTTTGTCGAATTGAAAGTTCTCAGATGTAATAAAAATTAGTTTTTTTTTTGCGAACACTCATCGTCATTGAAAAGAGACAAGATAAACAAATTTGGTTTCTTTTCTAAATAGATTTTTCTTCTCTTTTCCTTTCAGAGGGAGGGGCTTGTTGTTAGCCCAATCATTAAAAAACAACAAATAACTTGGGTAATACTCGTCTTCTGTTCCCTTAGTGGTTCTCTAATTCCACGCCCCCAGCGGTTTATTAAATTGAGCAGAAAAAATTGAGTCTGGTTTCTCGCGAAGCAGAGAAAATTTTCAATAAACATGTTTAAAGATAATTAATTATATTAGGGCTCTCCTACAGCCACCCACACCCCCCTACCTGCGATATTTTTTATTCATAGCTTTTCTTCAATTGTCATGAAAATCGACATAGGATTTTATCACGCAATTACGAACTCGTTTTGCCCCAAATACAACCTCATAAAACCAATGGTTACACCGTAAAAATGATTTTTGTATACAAAAAAGTGTAGGTATTACGGGGGGGGGGGGTTCAAACCACGTAATTAAAAAACTCAAATATGAGAATTCTCTCAAATTCCAGCAAATAAGCTTCCAGGTATCTCAATTACATACCCCAGCCTATAGTTTCTCCACTGCCTGATAGATCATAACGGCACTAAACATTTTTCATCCATGTATTTTCAACTGGCAAAGAAAGTCCAATGGTCTATTTTTGACCAGCATAACGAAAAAAACTCGAAGCAAATAAAATCAACAATAATAATTTACGGACTTGTTTTTATAGCTATAATACAAAAAATGTAATCTGACATTTAGTGTAAAATATTATTGACAATCAGCAATAGCTTCGATTGCGTTCAAAATAAGTTTCGGTGGTTTATTGTTCCGGCTATCTAAGAAAACGGTTTTTTTATGCTTGGTGTGTTTTTTTTCTGTCAGTTTCTGGCGATCGAACTTATAGCTTCTAACTAAAAATATTCATACCTCATTGAAGATCATGACCTCCCTGAATCAAAATGAAAAACAAGATTTACCTCCGATCTTTTTTTGCAAAGTTCTGAGAGTTTAAAAATAGCCAATTTGGCCTTTCTCTGGACTAGTTTATGCGCGCTGTAAAGACTTTATTCAAAATGATGAAAAAGTTGAGCACATTTTTGATGCGTCAATCATCATTCAAAACATAATCATTCCAAATTGAAGTAGGGCTAGCTAATTAGTCGTATTAATTTAGTACGACTAATATTTTAACACTTAATCTTCCAAGTTGTCCAAAATTTATATTTTTACAATAAGCTTTTTTACCAAACACTTTTAAAGGGTATTTGGAACAATCGACGCTTTGCCTTGGTATACGAGCAGTCTTGTTTATGATTGTTCTTGAATTTGGTTTTTAGAAAACCGGCCAACCATTTTGGACTAAGTGAGTTTTTGGTATTATCAGCATCGATCAAAGAGTGAAATCGTTAGTGTGAATAGCATACTGAAAACATATTGGAAAAACAGACTATTCTAGCCATTTACTGAGCCAAAAATTCGTCAAAACCGGATGGTTTTTTCAAACTGGGATTCATTTTTTCCGATTTCACTGTAGGGAAGAGCTTCGGTGTATATCTTTTTTCCGCGCAAAAGTTATTCTTTACTCTAAGTGAAGCTAAAAGCATTATTTTCAAAAACATTCGCCCTACTGAAACGCTTCATGAATTTTTAATTGCGTACAAATTATTTCTGAAAGTCTTTAAATTGATCTATTACTCGACTTTACCTGAAGTTTTTTTGTTTTATCTGCTTTTGCGCAAAAAAATCCCACGTGGAAATTGCCTTTACATTGATTAGCCAGCAAAAAAAAACGCTATCTTTTGAGAAAAACTGTATGACTTTTGTTGTAAATTTTTTTTGAAGCAGTAAATACTAATAAAAATTTCGCCCAGACAAGAAATAGTATTATTAAAATGCTTTAACAGCATAATATTCTATATTTTCCGTTATTTTGATAATTAATTTTATCTGGTTGAGTTTTTGAAATTAAAGAAAAGTCGGACCATGCTGTTTGACACTGGTTGAGTTATTAGTCAATAGATTGAAGGTTTAACCATTATAATTTTAGTTCAAGATGTAGAAATACTGATTTAGGACCGGTTAGTGTATAAACCCTGGACGCCATACCTGCTATCACCAATAAAAGGCTTCAAACATCAAAATTTTACAAAAAGATTCAAAAATTGATAAATGACACGATGAGAGATTGAATTCTAATTGTCTGCAATTTCTATTTTAATTGAGTTATTTTAATTCTCATTTTGCGGGTTTTAACATATTCATGTTGTGTTTTTTAAATTATTTTTTGGTTTCAAACGTTTTTCTGTTTTTTGAAATTTTTCCTTTCATTTATTGTAATCGAAACGTTCTTTGCTATCAATTTTTTGCTTGTACTAGCTGGAAAATTATCTGACTTGAAGAAGCGGATCAACCCTTTGATATCATCCCAAAACAAAATTAAGTCTGAAAAAGAACAAATAATTCAGGAAATAACTTTAACTATAGCCTAGATTTATACAAAATTAACAGTTGTATGAGAGAAAATTGATGGAAACATTTCAATTTAGTTAATTAACAGCATTCAAAAGCAATCCAACATAAAAATTGTTAGAGCGAATTTTATTTGTGCGTTTGTTCGAAACGCATAACAGAATTAATTTTCATAATTTTACGTGATTAGGGAGAAATTCTACAGTTGTTCATTTAGAGGTATAGATTGAGCGTTTGATCCGGAGAAGGTTCCGCAAAAAATTTTAACAGTATCCATGATCTCATCCAAATTGAAAATTTTATATGCGTCTTAATTTTATAAGTTTTTTGGGACACAAATTTCAAAAACGTAACAAAGTCTTATTGGACTAAAAGACAAGAAAAGCATATGTGAACAACTTCATTTGTTTGAATTAAAGATCAGAATTAAAGTTTTGGAATTATGCATGACTTTGAGGATGCTTTTCCTAATAATTTTTTTCATGTTCATAATGTACCATTAAACTATTTGTGCAGAATATTTTATTTGAAAACCTCGTCATATTCTAAAAAACACACAAAAAATTGTTTTCCAATGATTTGAAGAGAAAAATGAAAAATGTACTCCGCGTGTAGTTTCAAAAGTAGGCTTTTTTGTCGATAGTGGGGCCCATTATTTTCTGGTCTATTTACGCCACTATCCATTTCTGTCGTCATATGAAGTCACATTAGACATCTCGATAAAAACATAGAGTTAGTAAATCGTCTTTTTATGAATCGGATTCGTCGTGCCCTTGTCTCAAAAAGATTTCACCATATTGTCATCTCCTACTTAGACGCCTACATAGACTTTGATGATGTTACCTATATGGTCATCTCAGATTACAGCATCAAAGTTTACAGAAGTGTTGAGATAACAAGGCTGTAAAAGAGATAAAAAACTTTATGAGGCCAGCTGCCGGGTATTTTCAAAACTGCTCACAGATTACTGGATTGAAAATGATATCTTCTGCTTACAAGTCCATTTTTAATCGCAAAACCAAATTAAGTAAGAGCAGTTTGTCAAAAGAATTTATGAACAACCATTTTTGTATGAACTGACGCGAACAGTTTTTTGTCTCATACAGCTGTGTAATCATCTCTACAATAAAGAAAAATTGGCAAAATGGGGTCGTTTCACTGGCAGATTTAAGAACGTACATATATGCCATTAAAAAGCTCAGAAGTGGTGTGTCTAGGCGCACATGTGCGTGTCTGTATAACTTCTGGATTCCACAGCACATTGTTTAGAACCCGACTCTGGATTGTTTGGCTTTTATTTGGTTTTCTGGATTCCACGTTATTGTTGGAGATCTACAGGTCTCGAAATTAGGTATTTTATTTTTGCTTCGAAGACTTCTCGATTTTCCCGAGTTTGATTTCCATCATGAATGAATGAAGTTCCGGCGCGCGAGTTTGAGTTCCATCTTCTGACCCGTATTGATATTTTTGTTTCGACGTAATATCATATCCATTTCTGTACTAACCTTTTTCCATCGCAAACCAAGGAAAACAATTTAAAAAATTGTAGAAAAATCAATAAAATTCATCAAGACCTTGCATTGAAATTTTTTACAACAATTTTTGAGTCAGAATTAGGGCTAAAGGATTAATGATTAACTAAAACGAGCGAAAATATTATGTTTTACATTCAATTGTACAGTGTTTACAAAAACGAAACTTACCCGAGAGAGTTCGTGACTTCGGGTGGTGTCGGGGAGAAACAGTTGTCGCCTGTTGTATCACGTGATGTCCCTGTGTATTGCCCCCCACCTGCACCGGCATTCCCCTCTTCACCGCCACTGGACTGTTGCCGGCACTGCTGTGGTTTTTCTTCAGCCGTATGGAGTCTCGGATCACGTTACTGGCGTGTATGTGTGACGCATTCTGCGGTTTGAGTCGCTCGCTCACTTTCTCGTAGAACCACTCCCCTGATATTGTCCGAAGTTTCCTAATACAACAAAAAAACTACAGATTTCGAAAGTAACAAGTCTGCTGATATCAGGGCTAAATTCTAAAAAAATGGAGTGTCGTTTGACGTGTCTGATTTTTGCGTGATAAAAGTTGAAATCTTTAAAAAAAAAACATTTTGAACTGTTACTTATTTTTTGTTTTTATAATGATAATAATATAATAAATTAGTTTCCAAGTATATGCAAAACAAATACACTTGGGAGAACGTCAAAGGCGTTTAGCCTGTCGAGTGACGCCTCAAGAGCAAAGATAATTATGCTAATCAATAACTCATAAAATTTATACTTTATCACACAAAAATGCCTGTCTAAAATAAAAAAAAAAGCTTTCAAAACATTTTGTTTATTTACCAAAGTTGATGGCAGAAAGCGAAAAAAAAACGAAACACTACTTACCAGAATAACTCCAAAAAGTCTTTGTTATCTATTAGAAAAAAAATCTCGAAACTGATGCAATATTTTTCCCATTTCTTATGTTGTTGTAGTCCTTATGTCCACTGAAATTGATTTATCAAACTTTATTACAAAAGTTTTAAAAAATTTCTGATCCTAAAGCTACTTGTTCTGTTTTAATAGATATCGGCTTTTGTCTCCGACTTCAGTCCTTTGTTCCTATTAGTCCCTAAAAAGCAGGGCTCAAGCTCATCCACATTTGTACAGTCGTTAATGTTCTCAAAAGTGTGTTTTTTTCTCGAAACTTTTGCTAATGTTTTCATTGGGTCATATATGTGGAGTTCTCTACAAGTAAAAATTTTGTATTTGTTTTTCACTATTCCTTGAGTGTCCGTTTTGTAGTTTAAAAAGAATTCGTAAAATTTTGATCTGCGCTATGATATAGAACGAAAAAAAAAACGAAAATGACTTTTCCATGCTAAAGAAATTGAACAAACCCTTCAACCGAAAGAAAAACAACTAAACCCCAATTATTCGATTTACAGAAACTCACAGCTAAATGAAAATGAATTTGTCTCTAAATCCATTGATGACATAACTTCTAAATGAAACGAAAGTTTACTATCAGCATTGAATGAAATAGTATCAGAAAAAGAAACTATTTTCCGCCCTAACTACGAAAAATCGGGTAAGAAATTGGTGTAAAACAGTGGCATAATCTGGTCTATAACATTTTTTTCGGCGTGAAAAATGTTTTATTTTCTGGAATTGTTACTTGTCCAAAATTGCAGACAAACTTCATTTTTTCTTCATTTTGCTGCTCGTAAAGTACAAAGGAATGTATTAAAGCGTCTCCTATCATAGTAGAAACTCCAAATGACTTGCATCAGTTCAATTTAGAACAATTTATTCCGCTGCTTACAAGAACGCAATATACCGCGCGTTGATTGCCCCAAAAGGCCAAGTAACCAATTGTCAAATCCCCCTTATTTTACGAAAAACCACCACTGGGGAAAAATTGATTAAAGTTTTTCTTCCGGACAACAATAAATTTTAGATGGTACAGATAAAAAATTCGACGAAAACATTCAATTAAAAGCGAAAACTGACTCAATGAAAAAAACTACCACAAGCATAAACGTTCCGCACTTTTTTCGAAAATCGAAACCAAAATGACCCCAGGTCGAAACTTTTTTAAAGTATGAGCTCATGGCATTAATATCTTTAGATAGTAAAAAATATCAGTTGTAATCGGTTATTGAAAATTTTAATTTTGAGAATGATTTTTGAATAACAAAGCCCCCGAAGCATAAATACATCGCCAATTGTTTTGAAGGAAAGAGCATTTTAAATAAGTGCATTTTCAAACCAAGCTGTCGTTGATCCTAACGCACTGAAAACAAAGAAAACGGGTTATATTGTCAAGATTAACGTTTAACTTGAGTATTCTAAGTAATTTATAAATTTGCCACAAATTTGGATTATCAATGCAGTGTTGTCCGAGTTTGAAACTCTTGGTAATATAACTGTTTTGCGCGCATAGCAGTCCGCAAAAAGCAAATATTTTTTGTTTGCTCAACACAAGACTTTCATAGTCTACTTAGTTGCAAGGGCAGGGCAAAAAAAAATCGGTAAAATGTTTCTTATCATTTTTTTTATAAATAACAAATCCCTGCTAACTTTATTTTTTATTTGTGAGTTGCAAAAAAGGTCGTAGCAAACTAGTGGTTTTTTACTCCTCAGTATAACCTTAGCTAGAAAAAAAAACAGTGCTTATTTTTGTCCCCACTTTTGAAGAAAGCGACGAAATCTTTGGGTATGGTGAGTTTTTCTTCCTTCGGACAAATTCCGTCTTTTTGCCGAGCCATTTTTGAGCAGTTCCTTTTATATGACTGAAAATATGCCATGTGCACTATATTATCAAGATTGTTCGTATCAAGTTAAAACTCTCAGAGTTCCGATTAAATTATGAAGTCTATGGAGTATTGATTTTTTAGAAAAACGGATAATTTTTTCAACAGAAAAGCAGAAAAAAAAGAGTAAAATTATCATATAAATTTTATTGATGCGAAATACAAAATAGGACATTAACCAAAATGAACTAAATAGACCTAATAGCATGCTTAAATTCAATTTGGAACGATTTCTTAGACGGATTAGATCTCCTTTCACGCGTTAAAAGCACCAAGTATATTGCACAGTAATTGTCCCAAACTGGCCAAATTGGCAATATTTTAACTCCCATAACTTTACCAATAATTATTACTGTGAGATATATTTTTTTAATGGAGCTCAAGACAACGATACTTGTTGGTTGTTAAACAAAATTACGTCAAAAATTGGTAGGTGTTAAGTAGAAATTTGATTTGAAGAGTTTGGCTAGAGATTCTTTTAAAGCTGAGAAAAAATACTCCAGCCCAAATATTTCGATACTGCTTTTGAAAACTAGGCATTTCATGCGCACCATTTTTTGTAAAGTTGTGACGCTTTGACCAATTAGGGCAAATAACCCGTTACATGTTCTATATGTCCTTAACACATTCTAGTAATGTCGCTCTCATACTTTGCCTGAAAGTTATTTGTAATTTTTATTTGACTGCGCTAGTTGGTCTTATGAGTAATTGATTGGATGGATTCAACTTCTTTTTGTTTCTTTTTGACAATGGCATCATAGTCATAAAATGCGCCTCAATAGTGCTTTTAAAATTAATTAATTTCTTTAAAAACTCGGATAAACAACTAAACATTAAGCTTGAAGACCCTCAATTTAGAACAATTTGAGAATCTACTTGGTTCAAGCCAATCATCGGTTGCTTATTTTAAGCATTATTAAGAGCAGTTGATCTTGGTGGCATCAAAAAAAAATTTCTGAAATTTATGTTTTTTTTTTTTTAAATTGATGAAAGGAAAAAAATACGCAGCAGACATATGGGGTGCAATTTTTTTAAAAAAAATGAAATTGCTGTTATGATATTTATAAATTACGGCGTGGGGTCTTGTTCAATTAACAGCCGATAAACTAAAATTGGCGCATCTGATAAGTATGGGTAACTTTAGCCAAGGTTTGATTTTTGATTTAGCAATGGGGTTTGAATGTTTTAGATAGTAAATTCAGGATTAGTAAATTTTTTAATATTTCCCCTATCCCAGTGACATACTAAAATACTGTTAATTCAGCAAAAATGTAGATATATGTGCATCACGATTGCAAGAGCTAATTTAATTTTTGATCGCAAGCAAAGCATTCTTCGATGCTCTACAAATTAGCTTACTTCTTGCTATAATGTTCATAAGCACAAAAACACCAAAAAACAATCCTTCTAAGAATTTCACCTATCAATCTGATTGGCAGAAATTTTAACCAGTTAGTTTTTTCTTATCATATATTGAAAAAGTTCAAGAAAAAATAAACCAACAAATTTTTCATCCCCTAAACAGTTCTTGTCCATGTCTTAACAGAAAAACAGACGTGCATTAGAGTGTGTGGGACTCAATATGAACCCTTTTAAAAACAGTCACGTCGGAAATGTTTCTCTGATTTTTTTCTTTAATCGAGCAACTAGAAAAATTATCACTTGCAGCTAGCCATAGCAGGTTTTTTGATGCTTTGAAAAAAGTCAACAACTTATCAGTAAAAGTTAGTTTGTTTGTAAGAAAATCAGCCCCAGATATTATCTACCTTTTGTAGAGGCGGCTAGGACTATGGTTATAAAGAGAGGTTTACAAATTGCTAGTCCGCTAACTGAAGTTCATAAAATTTAATTAGGCAACAACTAAAAAATCTAGGAGTTCAGGAGTTTAAATGTTTATGTTTAGTGATGTTTCAAGGAATGATAGGAGCAGATTTTGAAAAGTATGAAAAGTTTCGACAAACTTTATAGGTCAATCAAATTGATTTTTTCAAGCCTACACAAAACCTTATAGGGATGAAACGCACGTTTATGCATGTCTCAGGTCTTCCCCAACCGGATATTTTTAACTACCCCCCCTCTAGAATACCTAGATACGAATTGCCACCCATATGAAGAACAAAATTCAATGGTTAGGCATCTAGACATTTTGTACCTAATAACGAATCCCCCCAACCCTTGCAAAAGGGTGAAAAGTGAAAGATGTTTTTGTCTCATAACTTGTATACATTGGCGCCGAAGTTTAAAAAAATTTGTTATTTGGCGGAAAATGCATGTTGTAAAATACTACAAAAAAGGAAACCCTTTAAGTGGTCAGTATGTCGAACCTCCGATTGGCGTAAAAAAATCAAATAAGTGTGTCAAATATTTGAATAAAACTATAAAAAATATTTTTTGAAAGTTGATAAAAAATAGCAAACCGCAATTTGCCTTAATTGGTCGAAAAGTTAATTCGCAGCAAAAAGAGATAATATATAACTATTAGCATATCAAAAAGAAGCAAAAGGAATAAGAATTGTTTCTTGGAACTTCTAGCCCATTAAATTTGCTCAATTTTTTTTCTAATGAGTTTGATGAGTTATCACTTGAAACCATTTTAAATAAACTTTGATGTTTTGAAAACTATCAAGCTGAAAGATTAATCAATAAAATTCTCGTAGATGAAAATTCAACACCAGATATTATCATTCATTACTTTATAGAGGTGACTGTATCTACAATAGTAGGAACCATATATTGAAAATATTAATTTGGTTCAAAAAAATTGGCTGCCGGTAAGAATAGTTCGAGAAACTACACAAAAATTAAATGAAATAACCCAATGCAAATGCAGAAAATCTAACGAAAATATGAAAACAATTAACCTTGCTGATGCATATCGAAAATCGGAACAATAATAGAACGTCAGTTTAAAAAACTTAAAAAGCTTAAGTTTATTAGAAAAAAAAGCTTAAAAAAACTTACGCTTGTTTGGCACACAGAATACACAACCATGTTTTCCCATCCTCAGTGACGACCACACGGCACAGTTTGCAAACCATGAAATGGCACTTGAAACACTCTTCTCCCCTGTTCAAAATGAGACCCAGCTCACTCTGACATCTAGCACACAGTTTTCCATCTAGTACACCCCCAACCACCCCTCCCCCTCCCCCTCCCCCTCCATGATCGGACCCCCCACCTGCTCCTGTGCCTCCCCCTGTACTGTTTGTCGTTACACTTGAGGGGGAAGGGGTGTTGCCTGTCTTGATAGCCCCCTTCCGTTTCAGATCCTGCACCTCCTGTCTTAATTTCCTGGAGAAACACAAGACACAAAATAAAATAAGCAGTATTGAAATCACGACTTAAAGTGCTATAAAATGACAATCACTCGGCCCAATCTGAAGATAATTTTTGGTGCCTGAATTTGCGCAAAAAAACTAAAACAAACCTGATGTTAAAGTTCCGCCCCGCTTTCAGTCGAACTAAAATGTTTCTTCAACTTTCAAAATTATTTTCAAAAATTATTATCAAGAAATTGAACAAAAAATAGAAAGTCATAAGAAAACCCAAAATAATACGTTAAATTGGGGGCAGTACAACAGTGCCAAAAATTGATGATTTTCGGCACTGTTGACTATTAAAATTATTTTCGGCACTGTTGTACTTCGGCACTGTTGAACGCCCCAGTTAAATTGTGGAGTCTTTTCTGTTACGGCTCAAAAGGTATTCTTTTTACCATTTTGAATTTTTCATGATGATGCTCGAATCTGATTGGTTGAAATTAACACCAGCGAAAAGATATCTCAGCGTTTTCAATGAAAACAAGCTCAAATAACAGTTTGATAATTTGGGCCGTATAACAAAAAAACCAATTGTGTGACGTGTTTGTTCACTCACAGGACCCTGTTGGACTCTGTGTGTAGGAGGCGCTCGTCCCTTTTCAACACCCGAATGATCTGCAATTTCTCCTCCAGACTCAAGTGGCCCAAGTCCATCATCCCACTGTTGCTCAGGAACTCGTCCACTACAAAAGATCACACTTAACTTGAGATGATTTAGCCCACGAGAAAATTTAACAAGATTATCCACCAGTAGTTTTCAGAATAAGGTTTATTAACAAAAAAAGTTCAAGAAAATTTATATCCACACGAAGATTTAAGAAGATTATCAACGAGGGACGAAAAACCAATAAAAATTTTTTCACACTTTTTCACAGACTGTTTTTGCAGGAATATGTAAGTTATCAACATAAACCGAAACTTATAAAATACATGTCTCACGATATAAATTTACAAATTTACAAATCAACATCGTGTAATTTTCATGCATTCCAGGCTGGCTTCTAGATTAGAATTAATTTAAATATAACAAATATACAAGTTTTGCTTACATATATGGCTTAAAACCACCAATTTTTCGTTTTCTGACGCTTATTTATGAAGATGCAATGAATATTTCTGAATTTAGGCTCTACACTATGACTTCTTTTTGATCAATCTCAAATTTTCAGGTAAATCATTTCAATTTGTAACACATATTCTGACAATAAAAAACTCTGACAAGTAATTTTTGTATTCTCTTCCAGCTACTTTTCTGATTTATTTTTTAACGACGTTTTCTGTTTTTGTATTCTTTTATGCTGGTACTGTTTTGTGTTGATGGACCTATTTTTTCATTTAACAGACAAGACTTTCAGCAAGCTTTTTCAGCAAGCAAAATCTGCAGTGAATACTTTTCTTTTCGAAAGTAAAAAACTGATGGAAGTACTTTTGTTTTCGAGAGCAGATCACGACATTAATTAAACTTTTTTCTCATCAAACTCTCTTCAAAGTACGCCCAAATGTTGTTTGACGACTTACAAAAGCTGTAAAAATCTGTAGACAAGGTCGACACGATGCCGAGAACTCACTAGACATGGTTTTATCGTATTTTTTTTAATCGTAACACCTATTTTTTTTAGGTCACGCGACTTAAACTAACACCCGCGTAGAGAACGAAAAAATTTCGCAATCGCACCTAGCAAAAAATACCGAAGATATCAACTGTCACGAATAAAACTGTTCTATCAAAATCGAAATTTTGTTAATTTGGTTTCATGTCTATGATTTTGAAAAAAAAAGTATTTTGAATCCAACTATTCAGAAGCGGTAGTTTAATGGTACATATTTGTATCATGGACACCGAAATTGTGTTGGAATCCTGAGCAATTCGGAAAACAATGCAAGTTTCGAGAAGTTAGGACAAACATGATTGTTCGAAAAATTCTCAAAAAGTATTTGTCAAGCTCATAAGCATGCGCTCTTTTCTTGTATAGGGGTCTAAGTACGGTTTTTTGGATATTTTTGGGCTGGTTTATAACGCATTATTTTCAAGCAACAACCACGGATAATTGGCATCGAACCTCCGACTACTTAATTTAGCGGTGGATACTTATCCACTTTAGCAACACTCTCCAGGTAACGTCCCTAACCTCATAGGCAAACAGTCATTTACTCATTTAGATGTTAAGTCATTTAGATGCCATTTCAGATGAAGAGTTGAGAAATACAACTAGCGAGCATTACAGCATTTTTTTAATGCAAAGTAAAAATTTGAGATGTGGAAAGTAAGCCGGTAAAACATAAGCAGACAAACTAAAATCTGACCAGTCAATTTTCCCGAAAAAAAAAACCAGATAATGCATGCTGGAAGAAAAGACCCGGCCAAGACTCGAACCCCTGGCCTTAGGGCGTAAAAGCTACAGTGTTACCTGTAAAAAAGGAGCAGCCTGTATTTGCTTGAAGTTCAATAATAAGGCAAGCTCAACTTCTAACAGATTTGTAAAAAAAGTTTTTTTTTGGGAAAAAAAATCACGCTCTCGATTACAAAAATTTTGTTCTTGCAAGTTTAATAAATCACATTATATGATGGATCTAAATCATACAGTATTCATGAAGTGCAAAAATTTGGATCAAAAGCAAAATATTAAAAAACACAATTTCAAAAAGGAGTAATTAGACGAGACACAAAAGCTTTATTCACAGAAAAAGAAATTATAACCAGAAAATCAAAAATCTTACGGGTTGGTCAACCAAAAATGGCATTGGCAAATAATGCCAAAGAGGTTGTTCAAAAATTAGCAAATGGAATTGATTCGTTCGGGCGGGTTTCCAGTCAAACCCCTATATCACTTTTTTTCGGCGTGCAACCGGAAACTTTTTAGCGCAAATTAGGGTGGCAGTTTAGACTCCATTTAGATCCACCCCTAGTCAAATCGCAGTTTGGGCATCCCTGTTAATGACAATCACATTTGGAGGATTTAAGATTTTTCACAGTTTGATCCTGACACCAAAATGTTAGCTTTCTCATTTCAGTTTTTTCAAAAAAAAATTCGAAAATTTTGAACAAAAACTTTCAAAAGCCTTACTCAGATTTCTTACAAAGTAACTAAATAAAAAAACAGTGAAAACGACGGCTTAACGTATCAATACAAGTAATAATTGGAAAAAACAAATCCATATTTTTTATCCCTATTGGCTGCAATTGATGAGAATTCTTCTCTAAAAAAACATAGAGAACATTTTAATCGGAAAAAATTTCTCGTTTTAAAGTGAAAAAGTGTATAAAATGTGTATACCTGCTAATGAAGAGCTATCTTTGATTTAAATCGAGAACTCATTCTCCAATTTGATTTTTTTTTTGCATTTCATAAAATGGAAACCACCCATCAAGAGAAATCAGAACAATGAAAATTTCAAATAATGGTTTCAAATATTAAGTTTTTGTCTTTGTACTTTTTCCCCAGTTTACCTACTCCTTAAGAATCTCAGAAAAGCCTTATAAAAATTGTGTCAAAATTGGCAAAAAAATAAAACGAAAGTATGCCTTTTTGAAAGGACCGAACCGTGAATAATCTGATCATTTCTCTGTTTGGTTTGAAAAAAAATTGTACAAAATCGAAAAATATAATTTTATTGTTTTTCCCGCCCTCATTGCAATTTTTTGTGCTTCAAAATTTTCTTTGATGTTCAGGCCAGATGCCCGGTTTTTTGCTGTACGTTATTTAGAATGAGTGTGTCAGAAAATTTAATTTGTTTACCATGAAAAAGCTGTTTAGCAGATATCAACGTTAAAATTTTTATCTCAAATGAAACTAAAGTAGCAGAAGAGCGAAAGCGACAGACAGTTTTTGCAACTTTCCTTTTCAGACTTCCACTTTTCGCTACATTTGCAGAGTCAAGTAATTTAATATGCGTCACTTTCCTTTAAATTACTCAGGCGCGGATCTAGGGTTTTGCTAGCGTGATATTTAAAAAAACCATAAAAAACATTAAAAAAATAAAAACATTAAAAAAACATTCAAAAAAACATGTCAAAGCTTTCTAAAATGTACCAAATTTATTAAGTGTTGCCTCGAAAGAATCAATTAGGCATTTTTTTGTGCCAAATTGTTTTTTGCCACATGCCATTCTTTGAGCACGTAGCCAATAGAAAGCGTCAATGAACTCAAGAACGCCAAAAAATTGATAAATGTTTTCGATTTTGGTGATGAATTTTTTTTGAAGTTCTTTCCATTTGCAAAGGTTGCAATGATTGACAATTTTTCAGAGTACTAACAAAAATTGAGAGAAATTGGTCACAAATTATTTTTTGTTCCGCTGGCAAATCTTAAAAATAAAATCCTCTGCTAAACAAATTTTTTGATAAATTTCCTAAATATGATTTCAATCAGGTTTTTTGCACTATTTGCAGTTTCACAATTGGGAATCTTTCACCGAATGAAATTAAAATAAACATAAGCCAAAAACAAAACTGAAGACTTTTCCTTTTAAAAAAAAGGCATTAATAAGTGACTTCAATTTGGTTATTGAAATTTAAACACGGCCCAAAAGCATTTTTTCCGAAATTTTTACAAATAATTTGGCCAAAGAACCTTGCTTTGCGCTGAACTTTAAAAGCTTAAACAGAAAAGCGCTCTCTCTCAAATATGGTATTTTTGGCGTCGAAAGCAACTGTAGAAAAACTTTGAGGTTATTCAGCCAAAAATGGATGTCGTAAAGTTGTACCCAAGGAGGGACCCTTTGAAAAAATATGGCAACCCCCCTGTTTACATCACTATTTTTTCGTAAGGCGTTTTTTAGCCTATATTATGTATTAATACAACTCAATATGAAACGATGTTCAGCGTATAACAATTCGTTGCTGAAAGCCTTAATAGAAACAAACAAATATCCTGCTTTGTGTTCCGACAAAAAAATCACTGGTAAAAGGTTTTTTCTAATCTTGAAATCAGGATGAAAATATGTTTAATTATGACAAAACTTTCAAAGCTATTTCAAAATCATTACCTGAATATGAAGAGAATCAACGATAGGTCATTGGAGCGTGAAAACGTTTCACAGCCGTTTTTCCAATTATGGTGCCATTTTAAAAGTCTGAGGCAAGTTACTCAGTCAGGCTGTTACTCAAGAAACCATTTGCTTAAAAAAGGGATAGCTGTGCAAAAAGTAGCACAAAAAGCCTCAATTACCGCCATTTTAACAATAACCAAAAAAAAAAGATATTTTTTTCGTTCAAAGGTTTTAATAGAAAAAAATTAGGGCGGGCGGTTATGGGAGCAAAATAAATTTAACTAGGTCAACAAATCAAAATAAATCAATTTATGCTCAACAAAATTTGTCATATATTAAACCTTGAATAGACTAGCGTAACTTGGAGTAAGGAAAGACTTACCAACTGTCCAAAATGAATTTTGAAGAAAGTAAGTTCTATCCCTTTTTCATGGAAACAAAAAGAAAAAATCAAAATGTTTTGTCAAAATTGTCCAAGTCTTCAAGCAAATAATACTTTAATTACTTATTCCACATCAATAAAAAAACTTTTATAGTACTGGCAGAATTTTCAATATCAAACTGAACTACTCTCGGTTCCCTGAGTTCAAAATTAAAAAAGTGTTTTAGGTAGTTTTGAATATTTTATGAGAGCTTTGAAAATACAGATCCGGAAAGGTTGTCGCGTTCAGTGTTTCATTTCTTTTAACCGGTA